CTCTAGTCTGGGCAACAGAGTGAGATTCCAACTCAAAAAAAAAAAAGAAAAAGAAAACAAAAAAATTGGCCTGGCACTGGCTCACACCTGTAATCCCAGCACTTTGGGAAGCCAAGGCAGGAGGATTGCTTGAGTCCAGGAGTTGGAGATAACCTGGGCAACATAGCAAGACCTCATCTCTACAAAAAAATCAGAAAACTAGCCAGTTACTTGGGAGGCTGAGGCGGAAGGATCACCTAAGCCCAGGAGATTGAGGCTGTGGTGAGCTGTGATCATGCCACCCTGAATAAAAAGAAAACAAAGTCTCCCTCTGGGAGCTGCCTCCCGTCCCATGACTTGTTGCTGGGGTGTTTTGTTTTAGCACCAGAAGACGTACAGCTCAGAGGAGTACCACCACAGGCTGCAGACGTTTGTCAGCAACTGGAGGAAGATAAATGCCCACAACAATGGGAACCACACGTTTAAAAGTATGTGGCCACCTCTCCTCCAGGCTTCTGGGCCCTTGGGAGGAGGAAGCCTCTCAGATCTGGAAGGAAATCAACTCACCTCCAGCTGATTGAAGGGCCCCCTGGGGGATTGTGGGTGGCGGGAGCAGAGGCCCAGGCCCTGAAGCTGCCTTTGACTAGTCTCGGGTGCTGGCTCTGCTGTTCTTGCTGTGTCACATGGAATTGTAAGTTTAGGGCAAAACTGATGTCCTCCGGATGGTTGTGAAGTGCACAGAGACTGGAGACCCCCCGCCCCATTCCTGCCATCTGCAGGCCTAGCCTGGATGCTAAGCTGAGTTCTGTCTTTGGGTGGTTGTGGGAGGTAGTGCCTCTTCACGAACATGCTGTGCGCTCAGGTGCAGGCTTTGGAGCCTCTGCCCTCATTCTGGATTAGCTCACTAGAGGCACACACACACCCAGCACGCTTACTGAGGGCTCAGGTTGTTGGCAGTTCCACTAAGTTGGTGACGTAGACAACATGCTACTATCCAAGCACGAGCAGCAGGAAGGAAACCTGGGTGTGAACTCCATTTCTGCACAATCCTAGCATGTGACCTTGGGAGAGTTTATGAGGTACGTAAAGTGGAGAAGCGCTCCCCTCCCAAGACTGCTGTGAGGACTGAATGAGACAGTGGAGGAGCCCCTGGGCACAAGTGCCATGGTTCCTTACCTGGACACCCATTGACCTCACCAGGGGCGTCTTGAAGTTTTTTTAAAATTTTGAGACAGGGTCTCACTCTGTTGCCCAGGCGGGAGTGCAGTGGCTCAATCATAACTTCCTTCAGCCTCAACCTACTGGGTTCAGGTAATCCTTCCACTTCAGCCTCCTGAGCAGCTGGGACTACAAGTGCACGCCAGCACACTGGGCTAATTTTTTGGTAGAGACAAGGTCTCACTATGTTGCCTAGGCTGGTTTCAAACTCTTGGGCTCAAGCGATCCTCCCACATGGGCCTCCCAAACTGCTGGGATTATAGACATGAGCCACCATGCCCGGCTTGAATTATATTAAAAGTAAACATTTAGGGGAGCCCAGCAGCAGCTGTAAATAGGTCACAGGTGAACAAGAGGTTTCAGTATTTTGTTGTTGTTGTTCCTTCATTAGTGATTCACTAAACTCCACTGTTCTGTTTTATTTTTTTCCTTCTCTTTTCCAGTGGCACTGAACCAATTTTCAGACATGAGCTTTGCTGAATTAAAGCGCAAGTATCTTTGGTCAGAGCCTCAGGTAGGTATCATTCATTGCAATCAGATCTGAATTCTTTTGCTGAAACTTTTAGAATCAATGTGTCGCCTGCTCTGCTTCTAGGAAGATTCAGTCCCATCCCCAGCTGCAGTTGGAGGTGTCCCCAAATTCTCTTAGGGAGCCAGAGGTGTCAGCTCTCCGTAGACTGTCAGTCAAGGGCTATGGCCTCAGCAGGGTGGACCTTTAACTCAGGGTTACCAGATAAAATACAGATGCTCAGTGAAAATTAAATTTCAGACGGACAACAAATAATTTTTAGCATAACATTGCATAGGATATACTTACACTACAAAATTATACATTGTTTACCAGAAATTCAAGTTTAACTAGGTAAAATATATATATGTTCTGTTTTATTTTTGTTTATTTTTTATTTTTTTGAGTTGGAGTCTCACTCTGTCACCCAGACTGGTGTGCGGTGGCCGGGAGCGGCCACCGCACCCTCGACCTGCTGGGCTCTGGCAATTCTTCCGCCTCAGCCTTCCGAGTAGCTGGAGCTACAGGTGCGTGCTACCACACCCGGCTCATTTTGATTTATTGTAGAGATGAGGTCTTATCAAGTTTCCCAGGCGGGTCTCGAACCCGCGTGCTCAGGCAATCCACTCTCCTCAGCCTCCCAAAGGCGCGGGATTACAGGCTGAGCCACTGAGCCCGGCTCTGTTTTATTTTTGAATAGGTGTCTCACTCTGTCACCCAGGCTGGAGTGCAGTGGCACACTCACGGCCACCACAGCCTCGGCCTGGTGGGCTCAGCCAATCCTTCCACTGCAGCCTTCCAAGTAGCTGGAACTATAGGCATGCACCACCACACCTGGCTAATTTTTTTTATTTACTGTAGAGACGAGGTCTTGCCAAGTTGCCCAGGCTGGTCTCGAATTCCTGAACTCAGGCAATTCTCTCGCCTCTGCTTCCTAAAGTACTGGGATTACAGGCATAAGCCATTGCGCCCAGCCTGGTGAACTGTATTTTTATTTGCTAAATTTGGCTGCCCTGTCTTAACTCTTTACCTGGGCTCTCAAGGGGACTTGTCATTTAGCTTTTGGGACCGACAGACAGGGGAGGGATGATTCTGACACCTACATCTTTCTTATTCTTTCTTGGGTGATCCCATTTTTACACTTTTTTTTTTGTCAGAACAGTTTGTGCTTTTTCTTTTTTTTCTCTCCTAAAAATAATGTGTCTGGTTATTCCAGAATTGCTCAGCCACCAAAAGTAACTACCTTCGGGGTACTGGTCCTTACCCAACCTCTGTGGACTGGCGGAAGAAAGGAAATTTTGTCTCGCCTGTGAAAAATCAGGTATGTATGACACCCCCATTTTTTTCTTCAAAAACAGTCACATTCCCAGACAATATGCCAGGGAGAAAAACTCAAGAAAGCCACAGAATTACTGCAAGCATATCCCAACTCTATTTTTTGTTTTTTGCATTGGGGTCTCACTGTGTTTCCCAGGCTGGAGTGCAGAGGCACACTCATGGCTCACTGTAGCCTCGACCTCCTGGTCTTTTTTTTTTTTTTTTTAGTTGGAGTCTCACTCTGTCGCCCAGACTGGAGTGCAGTGGCCACTCCCGGCCACTGCAGCCTCGACCTG